CCATCCTATCATTTTCTTTGCACTTGTGATCGTGGCACTGTTTTGATCCTTGAAAGTGAGATCCTCAGACATTACTACTCCCAGGTCCCTTACATTATTTTTTCGCTCTATTGTATGGCCAGAGTCTGTAGTATACTCTATTCTAGTTATTATCTCCTCCAGTTTTCCATAACGGAGTAATTGGAATTTGTCCTCATTGAACATCATATTGTTTACCGTTGCCCACTGGAAAACTTTGTTTATATCTTCTTGGAGGTTAACCGCGTCCTCAGCAGATGACAGCCTCATGCAGATCCTAGTATCATCCGCAAAGGATGATACGGTACTGTGGTATATATCTGTCTATGTCTGATATGAGGATAAGGAATAAGATGGGGGCGAGTACTGTGCCTTGTGGAACAGAGCTCTTCACTATGGCTCCCGGTTCAGACACGCACTATCTACCTGGTTAAGACACGCAACATCCTCCGGATAAGATACGCACCAACCACTCGGTTCAGGCAAGCACCATCTACCTGGTTTACAGACGCACCATCCCTTGGATCAGACATGTACCATCCACCCAGCTCAGATACACGCACCATCCCCCTGGATCACACACGCACCATCCACCCGGTTCCAACAGGGAAACATCGGGGACGCCTTGACTCATTAATCCCTTCTCCATCTAGACAGGTAAGCACCGTGGCGAGACCCAAAGACAGTAGAAAATCGGAGGTATACAGGGAAGAGAGGTGACCATTAGTATTATCTTCACTATCTGTGTATCATGGAGGAGAGCCCAGTGAGTGTGGTAGGTGGTCATCCCTGGCGCCTGATAGACGACACGCCGGACACACACCTGCCTGACCGCTATATACCGGGAAGAATAATGACAGTAAAACAACTGGTAAAATATGTATAACACTATTTTTTTCTGATGGAGATAATCGTAGTAGTAAAAATCCCACAGACAGTAGAAATAAGAATTAAATATTGCCGCCGAAGCAGCGAGTTTATTTTTATACGGAAAAAGGCCTAGGAACTAGGCCTTAAAAGGAGTAACTACAATAAAAGGTATAAGAGGCATAAAAATAATCATAGCCAATAAAATTTACAAGTTATTTAATTAATATATTTTAATAGTTATGATTATTTTTAATAACGTATTACACAAATAGTTTATACATATTGTGGAAAATTAAATTTACCTGGATGTAACTCATAAGGTACATACCAGTAAATGGTAACAAAGATAATTATTCTTTAGGTCGCAAAAAATGTCTCCCTTCGATACCTACCATAATCTATCTCTCCACAAGTCACTCTGGACCTATATTAATTTCAAATGAAATATACATCACCAGGAATTTTGGTAAAAACATTAATATAAATATACAGTCCACACACACACACACACACACACACACACACACAATATATATATATATATATATATATATATATATATATATATATATATATATATATATATATATGTATATATATATGTAGATGAATGGTTCAGAGAACCGACATGTTGATAAATTAGACACATGTGCAACTCTTGGGTATCTTTATTGAGGAAACGTTTCGCCACACAGTGGCTTCATCAGTCCATACGTAGGAGAAACTTGAAGAACAGGAGGAGAATGAGGTAATCAGTCCCTCAACCTTGTGTCGATGTGTTCAGTCCATCAATCTTCAAGATTGATGGACTGAACACATCGACACAAGGTTGAGGGACTGATTACCTCATTCTCCTCCTGTTCTTCAAGTTTCTCCTACGTATGGACTGATGAAGCCACTGTGTGGCGAAACGTTTCCTCAATAAAGATACCCAAGAGTTGCACATGTGTCTAATTTATCATATATATATATATATATATATATATATATATATATATATATATATATATATATGTCGTGCCGAATAGGCAGAATTTGCGATCTTGGCTTAAATAGCAACGCTCATCTTGCCATATAGGACAAGTGAAAATTTGTGTATGCAATAATTTCGTCAAAATCATCCTGAACCTAACGAAAAAAATATATTTCACTGTGTTTTAGTATTAAATTACTGTAAACAATTCTAAAATATATTTAGTTGGGTTAGGCTAAAATAAATTGCTCTTGTCATAATAAGGTTAGGTAAGTTTTCTAAGATTCTTTTGGTGCAAAATTAAATTTTTTTACATTAACATTAATGAAAAAAATATATCTTTAAATGTATAAGAGAAAATTTCAGAGAGGACTTAATTCTAAACGAGTTCTTGCTAATTGACCAGTTTTACATATTCGGCACGACATATATATATATATATATATATATAATATATATATATATATATATATATATATATATATATATATATATATATATATATATATATATATATATATATAGATGTTGCAAGTATATGGAATAGGTGATAAGTTACTAAATGCTGTAAAGAGTTTTCATGAGGATAGTGAGGCTCAGGTTAGGGTTACATGGAGGTTACCTGGAGGTCATTCCGGGGATCAACGCCCCCGCGGCCCGGTCCATGACCAGGCCTCCCGGTGGATCAGGGCCTGATCAACCAGGCTGTTACTGCTGGCCGCACGCAGTCCAACGTACGAGCCACTGGCACTGTTGTGATCCTTGAAAGTGAGATCCTCAGACATTACTACTCCCAAGTCCCTTACATTATTTTTCCGCTCTATTGTATGGCCAGAGTCTGTAGTATACTCTGTTCTAGTTATTATCTCCTCCAGTTTTCCATAACGGAGTAGTTGGAATTTGTAGAAGGGAGGGAGACTACTTCCCGGTAAAAGTAGGTCTTAGACAGCGATGTGTAATGTCGCCATGGTTGTTTAATATATTTATAGATGGGGTTGTAAAAGAAGTAAATGCTAGGGTGCTCGGGAGAGGGGTGAGATTAAATTATGGGGAATTAAATACAAAATGGGAAGTGACATAGTTACTTTTTGCTGATGATACTGTGCTTATGGGAGATTCTAAAGAAAAATTGCAAAGGTTAGTGGACGAATTTGGGAATGTATGTAAAGGTAGAAAGTTGAAAGTGAACATAGAAAAGAGTAAGGTGATGAGGGTATCAAACGATTTAGATAAAGAAAAATTGGATATCAAATTGGGGAGGAGTATGGAAGAAGTGAATGTTTTCAGATATTTGGGAGTTGACGTGTCAGCGGATGGATTTATGAAGGATGAGGTTAATCATAGAACTGATGAAGGGAAAAAGGTGAGTGGTGCATTGAGGTATATGTGGAGGCAAAAAATGTTATCTATGGAGGCAAAGAAGGGAATGTTTGAAAGTATAGTGGTACCAACACTCCTATATATGAGTGTACAGAGATCCTTTACTGCACGTATAAGTTCTGTCAAGCACCTTAACTACTGGGAACGCTTGGAAGCACTTGACTTGTACTCGTTGGACCGCAGGAGGGAGAGATATATCATAATCTACACTTGGAAAATCTTGGAAGGAATGGTCCCAAATCTGCACACAGAAATCACTCCCTACGAAAGTAAAAGACTGGGCAGGCGATGCAAAATGCCCCCAATAAAAAGTAGGGGCGCCATTGGTACACTAAGGGAAAACACCATAAGTGTCTGGGGCCCAAAACTGTTTAACAGCCTCCCATCAAGCATTAGGGGAATTGCCAATAAACCCCTGGCTGCCTTCAAGAGAGAGCTGGACAGATACCTAAAGTCAGTGCCGGATCAGTCGGGCTGTGGCTCGTACGTTGGACTGCGTGCGGCCAGCAGTAACAGCCTAGTTGATCAGGCCCTGATCCATCGGGAGGCCTGGTCATGGACCGGGCCGCGGGGGCGTTGATCCCCGGAATAACCTCCAGGTAACCTCCAGGTATATGGGTGTGAAGCTTGGGTTGTAAATGCTGCAGCAAGGAGGCGGTTGGAGGCAGTGGAGATGTCCTGTCTAAGGGCAATGTGTGGTGTAAATATTATGCAGAAAATTCGGAGTGTGGAAATTAGGAGAAGGTGTGGAGTTAATAAAAGTATTAGTCAGAGGGCTGAAGAGGGTTTGAGGTGGTTTGGTCATTTAGAGAATGGATCAAAGTAGAATGACATGGAGAGCGTATAAATCTGTAGGGGAAGGAAGGCTGGGTAGGGGCCGTCCTCGAAAAGGTTGGAGGGAGGGGGTAAAGGAGGTGTTGTGGGCGAGGGGTTTGGACTTCCAGCAAGCGTGCATGAGCGTGTTAGATAGGAGTGAATGAAGACAAATGGTATTTGGGACCTGACGATCTGTTGGAGTGTGAGCAGGGTAATATTTAGTGAAGGGATTCAGGGAAACCGGTTATTTTATATAACCGGACTTGAGTCCTGGAAATGGGAAGTACAATGCCTGCACTCAAAAGGAGGGGTTTGGGATATTGGCAGTTTGGAGAGATATATTGTGTATTTTTTATACGTATATACTTATAAGCTGTTGCATTCTGGGTACCTCTGCAAAAACTGTGATTATGTGTGAGTGAGGTGAACGTGTTGAATGATGATGAAAGTATTTTCTTTTTGGGGATCAACGCGGGGGCGTTGATCCCTGGAATACCCTCCCGGTAGACCAGTCTGGCTGTGGATCGTATGTTGGACAGCGTGCGATCAGCAGTAACAGCCTGGTTGATCGAGCCATGATTCACCGGCTTGGTTTGGAACGGAGCCGCGGGGTATCATTTTCCCGTATACTACACTTTGGAAATCATTCTCTATTGGTATAGTCAGTGATTTTTTAATGAGGATTTTAATTTGAAATATCACACAGTAGACTTTCACAGTAAAATAAATTAACTATGATAATTACATTATCTTGCATACCTCTTAATTAATAGCCTGAACTATGGTAAATTACTAACAAATTACATTAGTAGGAATGAGTGGGAGGGTATAGCACTTGCCTCGCGGCCCATGCAATTGCTCAGTGTTGTATGCTTCAGTCTCGGAAAGTAATTTTAGTTTTACAATTACCTTATAAAATTATATGAATTTTAATGGAACTTACCTCTTACAAGATACTCCAATGAAGCTCTATTGTGGATGAAAGATGTAAGCTAGGCTATCATTACTTCTTCCTCTTCGTGTTTACACTCCTGTGTTTACATTCTTCTGTTTACACAGTTTACACTATTTACACTTCTGTGTCTGTTTACACTCCTTGTGTCTATTTACAAGTTACTTCGAAAATTCATGTCTTATTTACATATCTTAATAATTATTATACAATCAGATTAAGCGATAAATCCGAAAGGGTCATACAGCCCACAATGCTTATATACACTGAATGTTATTATATACTATATATATTTATTAATTTATGTAAGGCACATAACACTGTCGTACTGTAGAAATTATCAAGATTAAATCAGCATAAAGGTAAAACAGAAGCTAAATGTTATTTCAATTCAACATTATTTCCAGCCATGAAAATATTAATTGAAACTACTTAAGCAAATTACACACTGAAAGTTTCTAAAGTTATACCCATAATAATCTGAATAATGTATTTTGAATTAATTTCCATACAGATTAAGATTTTGCCCAAGTATTAAGTATATTGCGCCGCACCTTTCCGTGAAGGTAATAAGTTGATTAAGGTACAAGTACACATAAGTACAATTATCATAGTGTAAGTTACCTAGGATAACAAAAAGAAAAAAGTCAGATACAATACTGACCTAAAGTGTTCTAAATTTTACCCCGAGGGAAGAGTTTGTTAAGCACCTCCACGCGAGTGATCTTACCACCATGATGACTACATTTCAGCCAAAATAGTTGACACTGACGGTATCAACTCCATTCTTTTCGTTTACAAAATCAAGCTATCATGATTTTTACAAATTACCATAACAGAAACGATGTCTACACAAATACTAATCTTATTTGTTTTCCATTAAAACTCTGCTTATTACAAAAGCTCATTTTTATTTCAGGAAATTTCCCTCTAAATCATATTCCTATGGTAGCACCTTGGGCTCACAAATGAAGGACCCGGGTTCGATCCTTGGGCAGGAGACGTTAGTTATGTCTCCCTGCACCTGGTGTCCGTGTTCATGCCGACTATTGCAGGTCGCATCCAGAGACATAGGACCAAAAGACTCCAATGGAAATACGTCACACTGGCTGGCTTTCTTGGGTTACTGATCTGTAAAGTCTTCGCCATTTCAACTGAGTGGTCGTTTTTAAAACGTTTCCTACAAGTCAGTATTCATGTCTCAAATTTTACAAATTACCATAGCCTAGTATTCTTTTCTTTTTTTTCTTTTGGTTTTGTAGACTAATAAAACATTTTTCACATTAACTCAGAAAAATGCGTAACAATGGTTCATGTGAGGATAAACAAGCAAACAATAAAGGGTGAGGCTGTTTCGAACAGTACCCAGGTCCGAAATTTGATCCATTGGGGCGTTGTGGTCGGAGCTGGCTAGGCGCTGGCTGCTCTCCCATGGTCTGAGCTGGTCTTGTTACGCTACATGATTCGGTCAGGGAGTGTAAAAGTTCTGGCAGTAGTGGTTGTAACTTGGTTGGCAGCTGGTTGTAGGCGGTTTAAGTAATAATATTAATTCCATCAGTTTGTCTCGTGGACTCGTGTATGGTCTGAGGCTATATTGGCTTTAGAAAAAGGTTTGCCAGTTCATGTATCAAGTTAACATACATGCTAATCAATGGTAATTATTTGATCAGTGAAACGTGATCTATTGCCAAAAATATTTTTTTGTCCTCAGAGTAACTGGATTTTTTCTATTTTATTTGTGAATTACAAATGCAGCTGTGTGGACAAATGCCAAATTCTTGGGAATGAAATCAACCCTAGCATTTATTAACTAAATAATTTGAATGTGATCATACCAAATGTGAAAAGGCCTTAGTTTTGTTAGCAAAATTTGAAGTCAAGACAGCAGTACTTAAATGTCCCTAACATGGCCAACAGACTCCTGGGATTTACATAAAGAAGTAACGGAAGTCCTAAGGTTATTCTATACACACCTCTCTCACATAAACAAACACAGGATATTTTAATGAGGAAAGTACATTGCTAAAAAGTCTGGCTCACCTTACAGGCCTGACCTACTTCCATTAGTGGGCCCCGCCACATGTAACTACGTCTACTACTGCTGCACCGCTCTACTTCTTCCACTGGCTCCACTGTAAAAGGCTCGTTCTCATGTCTCGTGTATTAGAATGATCAAGCCCTGATAGGCGAAACGTCTCTCAATAGATACCCAGGTGTTGCACATGTGTTCTATTCACCAGACAGTTATTTTTACCACGGCTTGTGCTACGCTATAAATATCTCAGTTCCCCTCCCCAATCCCCCAAACGTAAAATTTTCGGCAGAATTATTAGAACACAATGCATCATTGTCTCTGTTGAATGTGGACCAAAAAAAAAAAAAACCCTTAAATACAATTTTTTCTGATGTTCGAGAACTGTAAATACTGTGATTTCACAAATAATGGTGTTACTAGCAATTTTAGTCAAATATTCCGAATTTAACTATTGTCAACGTCTTACTATCACAAACTTGCTTACTAAAATAACGTTGGGGATTATTAGTTATTACCGTATGTGGACCTCTGCAATTCTCGCGTTTGTTGGCTTCTGCTCTGTCACATGTGATATGGTTTTTCGTAGATATTACGTGATATTAGGTTTGTGTGAAGATATCTTTGATCTCTCCAAAGCTTGAATGGGTTCAGCGCTGATCTCTACGAAGCCTGAATGAGCCTCACGGGTATAGCGCTTTTCCGTGATACTACTACTACTACTACTACTAATAATAAAAATCTTTCCTGAGTGATACCGAGTATCATTCACGTATATATTTTTTTCAGTCCTTGGATATGCTGCATCTCACCAGTACTGTATTTAAGTATATTTGGGCACAGGTACACATAAGTACAATTATTATACATAGTGTAAATTACCTAGGATAACCCCCCAAAAAAGTCAAAGTGACTTATTTCCATTGAGATCCATGACTTAAGTTAGTCAGGTCTCCAATACACCGGTCAGCCTAATGCGCCAGGGTGCCCTTAAAATTTCCCAACTTAAATGTCCCTGTTCCACTTCCATTAAAGCGACCTCTCAAAAAGCGAAATCGTGTTTTGAAATGTAATTACCTCAAGAGGCAGGTCATAAAAATTTAAGGTTGAGACTACATCTTGCTCCAGTATACATTCAAATTCTGAAGAAACAAATGTATACTGTATACATTTTTATTAATCATGAAATGTATATGAATAGGTTATATATCTATCCCGTCAATTTACTTTTAATGCTTAAAATGTAGGTGAACAAATTTATACATTTCAAGACTTAGTTAAGGTAAAGCGTCCGGCTCACAAACAAAAGCACCCGGTTTCAATTCCGGACGAGATAAGACATGAACAAGTCTCGTAACTTTTTTTTTTTTTTGCCTTTGTTTACCTAGCAGTAAATATGTACCTATGAGTTAGCTTGTTGCTTTAGGCCGCATCCTGGAGAACCTCAATGGAAATAAGCCACGCAGTTTCGCTATTTTTGGGTTATGATGGGGTCATTAACTCTCCGGGGGTTGGTAATGTGAATAAAGAGGCGAATCTGTGATGTATATTTCAGGTGATTCACATGACTGTACGGCGGGTACTAAAACATTATATACCTCTGCAGGCAACCCGTCACTAAACACGCCTTTACAACCTGCGACTCTGGGAGAACATGGTGTTGGTTGAGTTCAGACCGTACAAAATACACCAATAGAAAAATTACGTGCCGGGAACTCCCTTTCTGCATGACTGCATTCAGCTGTCTCTCTGCGCAACACTTTAATGCTCTTTACGACTAGTTTATGACTAATTTATATCTTATATAAACTAATTTGTCCTTTTTTTTATTTTAGTAACAATATACTTTTTCTTGAGTGGCATCAAGGAATGAGATATTTAAGGCACGAGAGCGTGTTCATAGAACAAATTCAGGACCTGTCTAGCATCGGCCAGTAGGCCTATGTGACGCTCCCTATCATATTCTTAAGCTACATTTTATTCATAATTTAAATTATGCATCCTGAAAATTCAGCGGTATTTAAATTAATAACCTACTTCAGTTAAAACTTTCAGTGCAAAACTAACATTGTAGGCACCAGCCTCGTGTTAAAACAATTAAACATCTGTTATTGTAGTGCAAAACATGAACTCTTGAGGGAGATTCCTTGATGCCAGTGAAGGATTTCTTGATTCACGAATTGAACTCCCCTTCCTTGGCTCGAACCTGATTACTTCCCATTCCCCAGGCGCTGTATAATAACCCTTTTAAGTTTAGCACTTCCCGTAAAAATAATAATAATAATAATAATAATAATAATAATGCAAACCACGAAGTAATCACTCTTCTGAATATTTAAGCTCGTCTGTGTACATGACGCCAACAAGCATTCTGTCTGAATTTTTAAGTCTGTACGTGATAACCTCCTTGACGGTGGTGAGGGGCTCTTGATCTCTGAATTAAGCCTGAATACCTTCCACATCCCCCCCACAGGCGCTGTATAATCCTATGGGTTTTGCGCTTCCCCATGATAACCATTAGTAGCTACGGACCATAGCTATATATATATGCTCGAAGTTCAGCGTATCAAAATTACTTTTGTTTTGTTTAATTCCAGTCACTGTGACACTACCTCCTCTTGTTTCCCGACACCATTGTTCCTCCACTGGAAAAAAAAACCGAAGCTGTTAACCTGCTTCTATCTCAGCTTACAAATGTAATCTAGTGCTCTTACCAAAGGTGCTAAGTAATTCTTATGTTAAATGTGTGTGTGTATGTTTGTACCCACCTAATTGTGGTTGCAGGAGTCGATTCATAGCTCCTGGCCCCACCTCTTCACTGGTCGCTGTGTGTGTGTGCAAGATAAACCCAGTGAAAAGCAAGGGTGCAGTGAGCACACTAAGCCTACACTGTATCAACATTCGTGGTCCCAGAATATTCAACATCTTATCAGAAGATATCAGAAACACTGCTGGGACAAGTGTATAAGTCTTCAAGAAGAAACAGGACAAGTATCTTCATCAGGTGCCAGATTAACCAGGCTGTGATGGATACGTGGGCCACCAGCTGCAACAGCCTGGTTGACTAGGCAAGCCTGGCCCATTGGCCAGACTCCGGGATTAGAAAAGGTATATCAAAGGTATATCACCTATTTGTACTCACCCATTTGTGGTTGCAGGGGTAGATAGAGTCTTAGCTTCTGGTCCTCCAGGTGTGTGTGCAATGTTATTTATTATTAATTTATTATATTGGCCTCATAAGTTATCACATCCGCTTGCGGGAGCTTGAAGCATCTAGTTTGAAGGTGTTTGTACCTGTGCCGAGCCTCACCTACTATTAATCTATTGCTATTGTAGTTTCTTTACTGTCTAGTTAGTTATTTAAATAACTCGCATACAGATGTTTTCAAATAAGTATAAGTAAATTATAATTAGAGAAATATCTGATAATGTATACATGTTAGATACTTAAGGGCCTAATCCCTAACCTGCACCCTATTATAACTACTTACTGGAGTGAAAGATATGAAAGAAACTGCTGAATAAACCTAGTGAAGAGCAAGGAGGCCCCTGATAATTACATAACACACAAGACACTCTTCAGGCTGGAGTGGGAATAACAGACTTTGAAACTGGTCACAGACACTTCACTGGTATAGCATATGTACATTTACTAACGTGACATTTTATGATTCAGCCTAATGTATCCAAACAATTCATCGAGTTCCCCATTTTATTTGTACGAGTTACCATTTCTGAAATATTTATTGCTCAATATAAATTACATATATTTCACTAGTAAGATTAGTTATCCTTTAATAATAATAATAATAATAATAATAATAATAATAATAATAATAATAATATCTATTTCTACAAGTGCATGTACAAGGTATACAGGCTTAGCTGATATCAATAACATACTACTATATAGAAAGCCGCTGGTTATGGAGAGCATTTCGGGCAAATGAGGTCAATTTTGTCCCAGGATGCGACCCACGCCAGTCGACTAACATCCAGGTACCCATTTTACTGATGAGTGAACAGGGACAGCACCTCCTAATGTGTTCCAGCCGTATCGGGAGATCGATCCCCGGACCTCAGTGTGTGAGCTGAGTGCGCTAGCAATTTGGGTCTTCAATAAGGAATCTGGTTCAAGTCGGTTCCTGATCTGCTGGGCTGTAGTGCATACACTGAACTACGTGCGGTGGCACCAAGAGCCTAGTGGATGGGGGCCAGCAAGTGAGAGGCCTGGTCTAGGACCGGGCCGTGGGGGCGCTGACCCCCGAAATCGACACAAGTTGCTTTGCAACTTAGTAACAATACTCTGTGTAATACATTATTATTATCGCTATATTTTATTGTCATATCCAGCGCTAGCCTAAAAGGCTATTAAAGTAGATTTAATTAAGGAATTCTGTATATTATTGATAAGATTTTTCCATATCTCTGGCATGACTTGCTAATAACAAGCCAACCTACAGCTGCTGCTATTGTTTTAATTTGGTAGCCCTGAAAGGGACAAGCAGTTGTGGCTTATCTAAAGGTCCCTAGATAAGGTCAAGGTTATGTTTAAGCGATCACCCATCCAGTTCCTGGCCAGACACTGTGTATGGCAGTGCGACCCGCATTTGATCAATTTACGTAAGATACTCGTCATGAAAAACCCGCACTTACGAGAGGAACCTTATGACGACGTTTGAGTCCATCCCCGATCATTGTCAAGATAAGATTTTAACCCCGGAGGGTTAGCAACCCAGGATAACCCAAGAAAGGCAGTGCGTCATCGAGGGACTGACTGCCTGTCTTATTTTCATCAGGGTCCTCAATCTTGTCCCCCCAGGATGCGACCCACGCCAGTCGAGGACTGTCTAACTTATTTCCATTGGGGTCCTTAATCTTGTCCCCCAGGATGCGACCCACACCAGTCGACTAACACCCAGGTACCTATTTGCTGCTAGGTGAACAGGACAACAGGTGTAAGGAAACGTGTCGAATGTTTCCACCCGCCGGGAATCGAACCCGGGCCCTCCGTGTGTGAAGCGGGAGCTTTAGCCACCAGGCCACCGGGCACCTGTAGACTAACACCAGGGCAACAGGTGTATAAGGAAACGCGTCCAATGTTTCCGTCTCCTGCCAGGAATCGAACCCGGCGAGAGATTAGCCAACCAGGCCACAAATGATAATTTTAATCCACGCCGCAATTAATTTAATATTGTTACCGTTAATCCTAAGGATGGTTATTCACGTTGTTCTTGGGTACAGTTCTGGTTTTGTTAAAAAGCTAAGTCAATAAAAAGTAGGGGCGCCATTGGTACACTAAGGGAAAACACCATAAGTGTCCGGGGCCCAAGACTGTTCAACAGCCTCCCATCAAGCATTAGGGGAATTGCCAATAAACCCCTGGCTGCCTTCAAGAGAGAGCTGGACAGATACCTAAAGTCAGTGCCGGATCAGCCGGGCTGTGGCTCGTACGTTGGACTGCGTGCGGCCAGCAGTAACAGCCTAGTTGATCAGGCCCTGATCCATCGGGAGGCCTGGTCATGGACCGAGCCGCGGGGGCGTTGATCCCCGGAATAACCTCCAGGTATGACTGGGCAATGCTGGACGAGGCTTATTACTAGCCTGAACCCAACTCATTTATTTAAAGTTGATTTTTTTTCTCATATTTGAACGTTTTTAATTATTTTTGAACTGGGGGTCTACCATCCATTTTGAGGGAGGAATTACAAAACTTGAAAACGAAATTCAAATGTATATATTTAAAGCCTAACTAACATGAAAATTTGCTACAGTATTAATATAATTAGTAAATTAAAAAAAATATATAAATAACTTATTTATTGACTATCACGAGCGTCGTATTTTGAGACTGATTCCACATTAACTTTGTTGTCCAGTGTGCAGATCAGTGACGTTATATATCTTACGGGCCATACATCTGTTGGGGCACCACGTGGCCAAAGGGGCATACGCGACCCTAGGGCCACGTGGCTATAGGCGACCCTAGGGCCACGTGGCCATATGGACCTTAGGGCCACGTGGACATATACGACCCTTGGGCCACGTGGATATACGCGACCCTATGGCCACGTGGACATATACGACCCTATGGCCACATGGACACATGCGACCTTAGGGTCACTTGGTCACAAGGTCGTGTGGCCCCAGGGCCACGTGTTTTAGAACATATGTAGGTACAACCCAGGCCAAACTAGAATACTAACAAAGTACATTGGGAAACCCGAAGTCCATCGGCATTAATTTATGCCTCTTCAAACACCTCACGTTCAGTGCTAAAATAAAGAGAATAATAATAGAGGACGCTGTACAGGTGTTAATTACCATTCCATGTGTATGTCTGTCATTGCCTGGCCTTGAAAGATCCAGCAAGCAGGGCAGTTTATAATATAAATTTGAACTTACATGACAGACATGTTAATTCTTTATTGCTGCTCGGGATTTCAGTGTCATAATTGAAACACTATTTTTTTTTTTGCTTTCCCCGCATATCAAACACAGAAATTTTGTAAACACTGTATTCATCAAAAGTCAGTCAGACATTTTCGAAATTTCACCCAAAAATATGTGCATGAGAAGATAGCAGATGTTTTCCAAACTTCACCAAAAATATTACCACAAATCTAGCTTATCTCCTCCAAGCTGACAGAAAATTACTTACAGTGACAACCGAAAACTGTCTCACACACAAGAACTATCGAGAATTTGTTTCACACGAAAGTTTCAAAAAGTTTTCTCACAAGAGTGGCACGAGCGCACCCCACGTACACCCTCCCTCCACCGCAGCACACGAGACACTGACTTGAAAGTTGTCCAGCCGCAACAAGTGTCTCACTAGCAAGTAACTACCCGCACCAGCCACGAGGCCTCGCACCCACCTCTTATACAATATTCTCACGTTAAATATTTACGTTTTCATGCACATATACACAAGTAAACATGACACAAACACAGACAAGCCACAGAGATAGCTAGATGAATACAAGCCCGAGAAAGTCACTGTCTGACTTTTTTGGGTTATCCTAGGTTTTCTACACATATGATGCTATGTATGATAATCTTTGTGACTGTATTTGTGTATACCTGAATAAACTTACTTATGCTCTGCATAAGTAGTCTTTAAGTATTAGGTTAAGTCTGCCAGAAATGCCTCGACATGATAGTGACTTTCTTTGTACCAATCAAATTATAAAATGTAAACACACATTGTAACCTTAGTAAAGAAATAAAATTTTGATTTTGATTTGATTTGATAACGATAGGCATGTACAACTAAATGTCAACCATCTCTGTACAGACATTGTATTATGCTAAAGTAAAATTAGTATTCAAACACAACTATTCAAACACTACTATTGCGAATTATTATTATTATTATGTGAGCAAATTACCTGCATGAGGTTTACAGGGCATTACCTGAATTATTATGTGCAAGTAATTTGCGTGAGATAAGTGGGACTTAAGTCACAGCAGGTCGTGGAACTGTAACTCCTTCGATGCCCACTTCTTCACCACTCTCACAAAAAAGCTAGACCTGACATTTAATTAATAATTATAGTATTAAAACCAGCTACTTTGGTAAATTAAATTTGCGTGGACTGTATATGATTAGGCTTACTGGGTACACAGAATGTAATTATACATAAATTGTTAATGTTATTAGAAAGGAAATTCTTAACACTTACTATTTAGTTACTGGATCAAATTATTTTATGGAAACACACCCTAACTACCTCTACAGCCAGGATTTATGATGGCCAATGTAAAAACTACTGTACTATGGGTAAGCATCACTTAGCTAAGGTGTGTTGTTGGGAAGGATTCATTGAAGTCCTCTATTTTTCCATCCTGGTTGCCGAATTGTAAGGGCTTTCCACACTATCCCAATTCTTCAGCAGGAACGTGTCAGCAATTTCTAAATTACGGATTGAGGCCGACATACACTGCCCGATACACTGCACAATTCAGTCCAGTGTTCACACCACATTAAATTCAATATGGCATCTCTCCTGCATCCCTCTGCAGCAGTTCTACACCCCTCTCACTCGAAATTTCTCAAAAGGGTCAAATCAGCATCATATTTTATTACACAATTATTATATTATTCATTTATATGTTCTACATTTTGGAAATTATGTAAATTTCCACAAGGGGGATGCACTAAACCTGTAGGGGTTATATAGCACCTGTGAAATGGGAGGCATTCAGGTTGCCCCAAGGATGAGGATAAATCCAGGTTCTTGGATCAAGAGAACTTCGCCTGCTGCAGCAAACGTTACGTTGGCGACTTAAGAGTAGCTTTCAGGAACCTCGACAAGAAGGCATTCATGACCCTATCAAGGAGCTGTAGAAAATGGAAAGGTTTGCTATATGAGACTAGTCCTAGATTTTAGGGGTATGAGGTATGAGGAAAGACTTGAGAAGATAATCCTGACCACACTAGAAAACAGGACTAGGGGTGACATAATTACAACATACAAAATAATGAGACGAACTGTCAGGATGGTGAAGGAGTTACTGTGAGAGGTAGGTGTAAGGTACACAAGGGCACAGCTGGAAGCTATTTATCATAATCAAAACTAAGCACTAAACCCACAAGGGTCATACAGTTCTGAGATGGAAGCTAAATACACAGACGAGTCACAGTGATGTCAGACATTTCTTTAGCTTTAGAGTGGTCAGGAAGCAGAACATTCTAGACAGCAAAGTGGCTGTGGCAGAGTTCATACATAGCTGTAAGAACAGGTATGATAAGTTTCAACACAGCCAGGCATGAACCCAGTGGTCAGTGGAGAGATGGGGCCAGGAGCTAGGACTCGATCCCTGTAACCACAAGCAGGTGAGTACACTTCCCTTGGAGGAGTTGAACTGCATTATCTGTATTATTATAATATTTAAAATCAAACACTGAACCCATATGGGTCATACAGCACAAGATGAGCTGCAGTGCTTGTGCCTCTTGAGGTTTTTAAAATACAACTACTGTACTGGGCCTCCTGGGTGTACTGAAGTACAGTAGGCTGGTGTTATTGGAGACACAGCATACCCTCTCGGATTGCACAGCAACTGAAATATATCCAATAATAATCATGGTGAAGCACTAAACCCATAGGGGTCATAAGAAACCTGAGGAAAAGGAGGTAATCAGACATGATCCAAGTAAGGGGAGGGTAGCTCAAACTCCTTGGATCAAGAGTGTTAGTATTACGAACCCACTACAAGAGGAGCCCTTCACCAGTACTAATGCACCACACCTCCTTGAAGGTCATTGTAATGAGAAAGAACACTGTGAGCACCACTTTATTTATAACAAACTGTACACAGCTTTGATCATACAAGTACACTTTACATCTATAATAATAATCACACATCCTCCAGAACATATTTGTGCATATTTGATCATCAATTTCTCTTACAGTTATTGAGGTACTGTTGCCATTCAAAAGTTCTCTACATAATCACTGCCAGTAATGAAATGAAATTAATTAATTTTTAATTTAAATTTTATAGGAATTCTAGATATTTTAAAACAAAACATTTGTTAATCAAATTTTAAATGAGCAATTAACAGCACCACAAAAATAAAAGTATGTATCCACAACCTTAATTATAGAGAACTTCAAAAAATTAGAAAAGATGCATTTGCAGAAAAGAATATAAGGGTACATAGGTTTTGTAATTATACTGTATTAGCCCCAATGTTAACATCTGCATATCTAACAATACAAAGAAAAAACATGTAGACCATAACACGGAGATGAGATAAGAGCCCTATATTTCATCTTCCAAATGAGATTCTCTGCTCAGAGTAATCCCAGTAGGTCAAAATATATATACATATACAAATCTCCCTTCATCTGTTTCTGCTTACATGTCGCCTCTTTCTCATCTCGATCCTGACAAGCGGTTATTACACTTTGATACTCCTAACAATTTAAACTTAACTCCATAGAAATATTAAAAAAGTGGAGCTAAAACCTGACTACTTTGACAGGGCAACTGTACATCTTTAATTGACATTCACAAGTCAGTCATGAAATGTTTAGAAACAAAAGCAAATAAACTATAAATATTTTTTACAAATATTTAAAGTATTAATATAATAACTTGTTTTATTTTCACTACTGTCATACTGAAGAACTGATTCTGTTCACAAAAATACAAATTAGAAACAATGAATAGTTGACAATTACTCAAAATAATGAACAATATAAATAAAAGTAAAAATAATGAAACACAGTATGTATTATCAATATTTTGAATTTTCCTCCTTCATAGTCTTGCAGTTAGTATTAGCAAAATTTCTTTAAAGTGAACATTACAGTAATCATCTGATATAATTAACCACACATAAATAATAAACTGAAAAGACGATTAAAAAATTTTCATCTCCATTTGCAAAAAAATTTGACTTATTTTTATTAGTACAATAGAATAAATACAAAAAGAATACAAGGTCAAAAATGTGCATGTTCTGGGTATTTTTTATGCTCTGCAGGTGGACTTCATCTCAGATTTGATAAAACAATTAAAATATGACATTTGACATGAAGACATAATATTATTACAGTGGAACCTCAAATATCGAACTTTCTTCAGTCCAGAAGGCTGTTCGAGTGCCTTTACCGAATGAATTTATTCCCATCAGGAATAATGTAAATTAGATTAGTCCATTTCAGACCCTCAAAAATACACTTATAAAAGCACTTACAAAAATACACTTACATAATTGGTTGTGTTGGGAGCAGTTCGATTTTTGAGGTTCCACTGTAATTAATTATGAAACTTTAAATAACAGTAAAATAAGAGCAAATTTCCTTATAAGTCTGAATGTTGAACCACTTTGAAAACCTTTCAGTGAACATTTGAACACACTTTTCATTAATGAAGTAATGTACAGAATGACTAGATATTTCAGATAATAAAATAAACTACAAATCCCTTTACAAATTACACTCCCGAGTCAGACACTTAAATATCAAAGGAAACGTCAATAACCATGAAAATGTTTACCTCAGCTGCAATTAAAAAAATAGTAATTTATAATATAATTTTTTTATTAAAATAGAAATGTTAACATTGGCAGGCATGCAAAATATACAATAAGAAGTGTGTGGCCATACCAAACCAATGTACGTACAGTAAATGTCAATGGAACATTGGAAATGGCACAATCTAAGCCTCACTTAAAACAGCTTTAATTTTACCCTTTTCTTTCCTGCTGTATTCATTTGTGAGATTTCCTGCACCTGTACCATTATTAGTATACAGTGGACCCCCGCTTAACGATCACCTCCAAATGCGACCAATTATGTAAGTGTATTTATGTAAGTGCGTTTGTACGTGTATGTTTGGGGGTCTGAAATGGACTAATCTACTTCACAATATTCCTTATGGGAAAAAATTCAGTCAGTACTGGCACCTGAACATACTACTGGAATGAAAAAAGTTCGTTAACCGGGGGTCCACTGTATTCACAAAAAGAAAATACTATATCTATATGGGTCATTTGGTGCAGTGCATGTACAATGAAAAATCATGTGTACTGTATAGTTTAAGTATAATGCAATCAGTGGATGGAAAGTGTCTGCTTGGTACATGCATGTCTGAGTCTTGTAAATAAATTCATAAGCAACTTTATTACTGTACAGAATTATAAAATCCACCATTAGGAAAACCAAGACATATAATGTTACATGGATTAGCAATGCAAAGAAAAATTAAATTGCAATTTAAATTTTTATTAACACACTGATTGTCCCCCACTGATGCAGGATGACCCGAAAAGAAGAAACACTCTTTATATTTGGTTATATATTATACAGGAGAAGGAGTCACTAGCTCCCTGCTCCTGGCATTTTAGTTGCCTCTTATGACATGCATGGCTTATAGAACTTCATAGCTGCTCCATGTTAGTCTAAAATGCTGATGAGTCAGTAAAGGAAAACAGATAATAAGTTACAGTGCAGGAAAGTTATCTTTTATAGCAGATATATACAGTATGTTGATATATTCAATACAGTTTTTTGCAAAATATTTATAGAAAAGTTTCAATCATAAAATAACCTTCACAACTCATTCAAGTCTACTTATATTTCTCACTTAAAATTCCAAAAATAAATATGTATACGTGTACACTGCTCACACTGTAGTGTATTTGAACTAGGTACTGTATAACACTAGTTCTATCATGAACTGAAAATATTTTTTAAATATCTACTGGTTTTTAAGTCATTATAATTTAAGAATTTGACTGTGGATACTTTAAAAAAATACAAGTGCTGCTTTATTTTTAATATTAAAAGTAAATCTGGAATGGGAACACAGTGGTCCTTAAAAAGAAGATAAAATATGTATACTGTACTATACACGCTCTCTGTCTTACAGCTTCATTCACTTCCAGAATGCAGTATGTAATTGTGGTAAGGTAGTAGCTGACCAATATGATCTGTGTTATCTGAACTATGCAAGTTTCAAAATGTGTTCAAAAAGAAATGTATTACCAGTAACATTAAGAAATGTCACCATTAGCCAGTTCCTGCTGAGAGGAAGCTTCAATTCCTTTTGACCTGCAGTGCTGGTGATCCTCCTTGTCACTCTGATGGGATCATATTATATCTCTAAAATAATGGCTGATATCTTGTGTACATTTGCTTAAGCATGTCTACTCTGACCTATCCCTACAGGTACTGCTGATGACAGGGCAGCAGACAAGCACCTTAAGTGCTGCACTATAGTGTGCCACTGTTTATGAACATACAGAAAAAACATTAGCTTGTAGATTTTAGTTGGATACATACAGTAAGGAACATGAAGTTAGGAAAAAAATCTCTTAATATTGAGTGTACAATATATAACATCATTCTGACCATTATTATTCCTTGAAAATTGCCATGATAGAGAATTACAGTATTGTAATAATTTCAATACATACAAAAGATGAAAGAGAATTAAAATTCAACCTGGAAGACAAAAAAGAACAGCGTAATTTACTGTATCCCAAATATGATACTGTGAGCTTACCAACTTCTTATTTACCATATACGTATATCAATAAAGTACAATATATACGGTATAATTATATCTACAGTACATACTACTAAAATTTAAGTAATCTAAATATAAAGTACAGTACTGTGCAATGAGAACATTATCTGAAGTATTTAAAGTATGGGAAGCATAACAGATTAACAGAAAACAATCTTCATTCAATGTAAACATTTTTTGGAATTTATGGACAAAAAATCATGATTAATATCATTCTCTGAGAAATGTATTCAACTGAAACTTGAAACATTGTGCTGCATGTTTACATTATGCTGCTCAAGACTTTTATCTGAACAGAGAAAATATGGAAATATATATTCATCTGAACTAAGGAAAATGTTTCAAGAATACTATTTAAAAATTTTGTGCAAAAATTTAATTGGTTGAGTTTATTCATTTTTTTAATTTATTGTTCAGTAGATGCTCTTAAAGGACAGCATCTCTCATGCCCAATTGGCTCCCTTAAAATCTATTTTTAAAGTAGATTGAATTATCAGAAATCTTATACCTTTGAATAAATTTAAGATATTATTCATCTCAAATCTGTTTAGATGTACGTATGTATTAGGTTTTGTATTATACTAGTTTTGCATGATGGTTTACCAAAATGAACTATTTAAACAGCATGGAAATACTTTATAAAATGTGATTAAAAGAGAGTTCAATTTAATGGTGGGGTAATAAAGCCAAGAAGAAGTGTCCATATTTTATAATCACACTCATGTTAATCAGCCATTTCATATACAGAACAACAAAAGAAAAATATATAAAGTAACAAATAATACTGTGAATTTTCTTGAGGCAAACATGTTTACAATTAGATGGATCAAGGCACAAAAGCAGTATAATGCATTATACATACTGCCTTTGCGTCTTCAGCCATCAGAGCAGTATGGTACACCATTTCTCTCCGTGTTTACAATTATACTGTGCAGTGAAACTGTATAGATATTTATGAGTTAAATTTTAATAGGAGAATATTTTTTTGAATTTGTCTGAACTCTTGGCTGGCTTAAGGTGAAGGAATCAAATTTTGGACAGTTGAGGTATATACTGTAGCAATTCTACTTGCATTTGTTGCCCATGTTCACCTAGGAGTTAGTCAGCTGTTGTGGGTCACATCCTAGAGGATGACCCCCAGCAGAGGTAAACCATACTACCGTACCTGGCTTTGTTGGGTAATCCTAGTTTTAAGAACTAAAGGTCTCTTTTTTTAATCTTCAGGTTGTGTTCTACCGGAAAGGTTTGTGTGGAGCCTCAAATTGACAGGTGACTACCCGAAAGACAGGCAGTAAGCCGATACATAGTAAATCACTGTCTTGTAGATAGAGCAGACTTTTATTAAAAAATTATACTATTTTGATCAGTAGTTTAATAAAGCCTTCACTAAAATGTAATTTTTAACTCTGTGGACATCACTAGTAGCAAAGTCCCTCTTGACACATTTACATTTTACTCCACTGATAATCCAGAATTACTGAACATTAAGTTATTTTATTATAGCTGGAACTAGTTATTCATGCTATCAAAATGAGTTAATTTAAATAATGATGCATTAGAAGAAAGTTCAATATTTGGCACATTGTTTAATTGTTTAACATCAGTGTTCATGCACAGTACAGTATAAAAAAAATATTAAATTCAGTAAAATGTAACTAGTATTTTTGTAATATACTACATATAATACTGCATTTATTGAAAAAAAATGATATAATGACCACCATCTTCACTTTGTATTTTATTGTCATATATGGTACTTGCAAATCTAATACTGATATCTCTTCACACTTACACTTTACTATTTCAAAGCTCAAATGAATTTTTGTGCATGGCAATCACTGTTTTTACTTTGCAACATCATTCATTATATAATACAAAAGGAGAATTCTATTCCAATTTTTTCAAAAATGTTTCCAAAAGGTGTTTAAATACCAATACAGTACCAGTATTAGAACAGGGTTGTCACAAGGCAGAGCAATTACAACAAAAATTTACACCACACTTAACTGAATGTACAAATGCCACACCAAGACGTCATTTCTTCTATCTGCAATTATCTTCTCCCACTTTCATTTTTATTATACAACTTTGTTATATCAAATAACTGGAATGTTTATTTGAGTAATTGACAGACTTACAAACATTATAAAAGTGAAGAAAAAACATTATTGGTGCATCCTAAAATATTTTTCAATTTATTCGGTAAATAAAATTCAGAAAAAAAAATTCACAAGTAGAACTGCTTAATTAACTCATTAGACAAATGAATACAATATACACACAATTATTACTTTTTTCATATATATTATTACAATATGAAAATAACTGTCTTCAACACAGTGGAGTCTAGGTAAGTGAGTTGCAGGTGATCAGGATACAGAGGCATATATACAGTATGTGTGTACCACACACATCAATGCAGGTATGGCAAGTACTGCAGTCTCACATAGCTTGCACCCCACACAAGACACTATAGGATTCACTATAAGCTCATCCTGTCCTCCTAACAATACTGTTTTTTTTTTTTTTACTTTATATGCGGAGACCAACTTTTCTGCATAAAATATTTACGTTAATGTCACTTAACCAAATTTAACCAATAATAATGTCAATAATGCATGAAGATGAGATTGATCTGATGCATGAACAATAAGAGGGAAACCAACAGGTGGAGTGAGGAAGCACAACAGCAAAATACTGACTTGCACATTAGTGTCAGTCACTTTACAGTCTTATGTCGCAGTAGAAACCAAGGTTTGCTTAGGAGGATGAGTTGATAAGCTACATATTTAACTTTTCAACATTAAATAATCACTACCCACTAAATTAGATTAAAAATGGTTTATACTGTTCTGTACAACTCTATTAACCTTTAAAAAACCTTACAAGTTATGAAGAAAGTATTTCTCACCATTTCTCCCATTCTCAGAGCATATATACATATATGTTAATTAACAGACCTTAATGAGAGATTATATAAAAATTATTATTAAACCAGTAGGGGTCATACAATACCTGGGGAAATGAGAGGCAATCAGGTTTGATCTAAAGAAGGGAAGGATAGGTTAATTTCTTTGTATCAACTCCTCACTGGCATCAAGGAACCTCCTTTAAGAACTTACAACATAAGACTCCAAATGCAAAATATGTACACCTGAATATTGTGTTATTTGCATGCATTATTCTGATTACATGAAGGAACTATTTATTAGGTATATATAGGACATATTTTTAGGGCTCAGTGATTGAAATGAGGTTCTAATGGTCTTCAAACAAAAAGAAAGTTATTTGTAACAGCAAGTGTAACTACAGAATTAAACAAAATACAGTTCAACAGTCAAATTACAGCCAGTGGGAACCAGAGATAATGTAGTTCAATAATCTGAAGAGAAAGTTTACAAGTAAACACAAAGGTTAAGCAGAATTACAAAACAGCTCTTTAACTGGTTGTGGTTGTCAGTATTCACAGGTATGTACTTAATGCTGTTTAACAGTGTTCTTTTTTTTTAAAGGAAATAATGCACTTCCTAAAATATCTTCAAGCTGCACAACAGAACAAAACCTTTACATACAATTTACCTTCAAGAAAAGGGCCTCAGTGCGCTAGTGAAAGGTACTTGATCCAAGGAATTCAAGCTATCCTCACCTTCTTGGACCATTCCTGATTACCTACAATTTCCCAGGTACTGTATGATCCTCATGGGTTTAGCACTTCCACATGAATACATATAACATTAATTATCTATATATAATTTAGACATCAGTGTGAAATAGAGCTACTAAATGAGCATTCCTAAATCCCAAGCATTTTTTACTATTTTATACCTATGAGAAAAAATATATGAATAAATGATCACTGCCAACCAATTATAAGAACCAGCTTTGTGTTTCTTTTCCTTGAGCTTTAGGTTACATATTCATTACTATACTACATACAAATTAATTCATTATTATAATGTATATGGTCAATGGGAAATAAATATATAGTAAAGCCTCGATATAACAGACTAATAGAGTGGAGTGGGTGGCAGGTGATGGCAATTGTGGTGGATAAAGAAGAGATTGTTTTGCCGTGACAAAAGTAATGCTGGACAACTCTGTAACCAACAGACTTCATCTGTTGTTTCTGAATTGACTGACTTAGTGCATTTTGTTCCGTATTTCTAAAGTCCATTATACAGAGGAATGTTATATCGAAGGTTCACTGCAGTTTGTTTCTATATTTCTAGAAGTACCTGGATGAGAAACACAATCCACACAAAGATGACTGTGTATTTAAGAGGAGGTCATCTAGGTCACAGAATCTCTGCATCAGCTCGTCAAAATGAGGATAATTTTTTTTTTAGTTACAATGTAAAGTCAAATGTTTTCCCTTTAGTATAAAAAATTAGTAAATCTTGCTTAATAGTTCAAATGCAATAGAATATTAAAATATCTTCTTACATAAGAAACAAGCATTACAAAATTCTATATAATTAAGTGGAAAATATTGTATTGCAGTCCCTCTTCTCTCAACATGCAACTTGTTTTAAGTGACTAGCAGTTATTCCCAGATACTTTTGAAAATTTTACAAAATAGTTGTCTTAAAAATAAAGCTTTGACAGCAGGAATTATAAAAATTAAATACTGTATGAATTTATGAATATGGTCATTAAGAGAGCTTTATAAAAACTCATTAGTATCGTACTCTATTTACTTTTTGTATTACCGTAGTATTTGGAAACTTTACTAATGCATTTTTTATTACAAATCTTTAATACAGTACTGTATGGATATCATGACAAAGTATTTCCATATAAAATTTCCTACAAACCACTTAGAAACTTATCAAAGTAATTACCTACTGTATAATGACAGAAGATTGCTGCTTGTCTACATTAAAAAATTAGTGAAATTCAGGCCGTTGAAGATTACGGATGTTATTATCAAGGTTATTTTCATAGTAATTTCCTTGGTTGCCAAGGTCTTCTCCTATATTCATATCCTGATGGGTATCCTCTTGTGGAAGGAAAGGATGAGGAACTTCCAGAGCTCCTATCTGGTTTCCACTTCTTGGAAGGTCTTTGTTATCTTCTCGGCCATTATCCTCATGCATATTGCCATTGTTGTGCTTGATATCATTGCCTTCCTCATCTTGGTCGTCCATTAGGTCCTCAACGATTTTCCCCTCTTCATCTATAGCTGCGTCTAGATTGTCTGTTGTGTAAGAAAGATGGCAGAAATAAAGACAAGAAAGCCATAACTGTAATAAGACAAACCCCAGATTAACCTCATCACGTTGGAGAGACTACTAACTACAGTAGTTTAAAACATGGGATTGTTTAGCAGTGAGTTTATGTAAAGATGGTCATCAATTTTTTCATACTTGTACTATATTTAGTATTAGGGCTTTTGTACAGACATATGTGAATTTTCCTGTTTGTCTAATTATTTTAATAATTGGTATCTGTAAAACACTGAAGAGTTGCTGCAATTGTCAACAACTGCTTCATGACTGACTACTTTTAAGACTGCAACCAGCTAGGGTATGTAAGTAGGTTTTTCTATAGTAGGAGTGGTCACCTAGTGATGGTGATGTGAAATGAAGTTATGTGATATAAAACTATGCTAAGAGATGATGCCTTCCCCACTACTGCAGGCTGCAGTAGTGGGGAAGTCCTTAACACCTGGACACTTTAAATGGGTATTTTTTAATAATTAAATGGTACAAATTGAGGTTACAATACCTGGACTTAAATGATAAGACAAAGATGTTCTGATGATTCTGGTGATGAGAAAGAGGATTATGTAGAAGTTAAAAGGATGATTCCTCTGGAAGATCATCTGAATCAGACTCAGCAGAGGTGGTTTTGGGGAAACTGCTATTCTCTACATCTTCCAACAAATACAGATAGTTGGCTCTCTGAATTTGTGAACTGCTTCACTGATATTTTCAGTAAAATGCATAATGTTTTACCCCTTCCAACTCTTTGCCAAATTCATTCCTTTTTCACTTTCATTCCTAAGAAAAATCAAACTGAAATTATGTATTTCCAATACAGTGAGGACTTTATATCTGCAATAGTTGCATTGCTAGAGACCCCAAGATCACAAAGAAAAAACTATAAAATTACTCTCGGACACCAAAGCTGGGCGTGGTAGTATTGGATGGTGTGGGGCAGTGACTTTAACAGATTTCAACACCACCAAACACTGTTGTAAATCTCTTCCTTTTACAGCATTAAATATAGTTGTAGATATGCGGGAGAAAACATTGTATTGCTGAGACAATTTCTCTTTAAATACTGATCTAATTTCATTAACACTGATATACATATTAAACAATGTCTACATAGAATAAGAGAGATTTGGGTATGAGAAATCAAGTGAGCATATTTTGAATGAAATCCTACAGTTGATATTCGATTGAGGGATCATGTGCCAAGTCTAAATTACATTGGCACTGAAACACACATTAGTACTACTACAACTATGACTACCACCACCACTATCACTGCTACTAATACGACCACCACCACCACCACCACCATTACTACTACTGCTTGCTTCTTCTCTCCCGTCCTGTTCTCTGGTTTTCTCTGCTTTTGTCCCTAACTTAGTTGTGACTTGACAATGATCCAGAATGAACCAAAACATCATCAAAAGTTTTCTCTCCTATGTGTGAGTTGTTTGTAAAACTGGCACTGCAACAACAAAAAATGTTGGATCATTGACTTAAGTGAAATTGGAGATGTGACTGGGAATATATTTTTATTAATATTGATGACATTATACGCTGAGCCAACGTGAAAGGGTTAACCAGAGATTCAGTCCAAAAGAATAAATATTATGAAAGAGGCTTTCCTAAAAGTTTAATATACTGTATAGTACTACACTACTGTGCATAGTGATCTTGTATAGTATTTAGTAATACTGTATTAACTGATTGCAGAGCAGATAGCTAACAGGTATTATCATAATGAAAGATAATGAAAACTGCATTGAAAAACAGTCCTTCAATCTGAAAATGAAGAACAGTCCTAATTTCTTTTGTCAACATTAAGTGACTTACTCTGTTCTAATCCGCTAATACCCATCACTAATGAAAGCAAAACAGATTTGGTCATCACTTCAGGGTCATAGCTCAGTGCCAGCAAATATTTAATTTTTTATTATCACACTGGCTCATTCCCACCAAGGCAGGGTGGCCCGAAAAAGAAAAACTTTCACCATCATTTACTCCATCACTGTCTTGCCAGAAGGGTGCTTTACACTACAGTTTTTAAACTGCAAATATGTAGTTTTATAATGGATTACGTAGGTACAATGATGCATGAAGGTGCACCGACGTCAATCACTTACTCTAGAGCAGTAAAATGTATACCTGTACAAAGTGGAGAGCTACAAAATAATGCAGGATAGAAAAGGAGGTTTTGATAATGATTATTATATGAATGGAGAAGCACCAAACCAGTAGGGGTCATGCAGAACATAAGGTTGGGAATTAATCAAGTTTATTCAAGATAAGAATTTCTAGTTTCTGCACAATTAAAATAATCAGACAACATCTTTCTGACCAAACCATACCCCCGGCCGGGATTGAACCCGCGGTCATAGAGTCTCAAAACTCCAGCCCGTCGCGTTAGCCACTAGGCCAGCTAGCCACAATAAGATTCATCCAACTAGGTATATGTTTGCAATCGTGTCATTACGATTTCTTGAGTCAGTAACATCTTTCTGGCTCAAGATTTATAAGTTAGTTGGATCACCCATTAAAAAAGGCACCTTTATGCTAGTAAAGTACTTCTGATAAGGAATTTAGCCAACCTCCTCTTCTTTGGATCAAACCCGACTACCTCTTATTCTCCAGGTTCTGTTTGATCCCTACAGGTTAAGCATTTTTCCAAGAATATGATAATTCACATACACCTACAGTATTACATTCAGTAGCATAAAAGTGGAGTTACAGTAAAGTTTACTTCATATAATTTTTTTGCATCATTAAAAGGAATGAGGGTATTCTTTGTATAGTATGTGTCTTCGATGGTTTACTCTGAGAATTGCCCTTCATGGTTGAGTTGGCATCATGAAATATCTCTCCCAAACATTTCCAACACTGACACATACAGTACTGACAACTTAAAATAAGGACTCAAGTTATTTTCTGAAGAAATCCATATTCTAGTTTGCCTACCACCTAAGACAATTAGTAGCCATTTGAGTGCAATAAAAACAGTTATGTACAGAAATGTCAAATACTGCTTCATCAAATAAGTTAAAAACTAGTATGGAAATCTATAACTGTCTAGAAGAATATACTTTATGAGAACAATAGTGAATGAAAGGGAGAAGTGGAGGTTGACAGATACTGGCAGACAACACATGGTGCTGCAGTGTTTATGTACAATACTTGACGGGTTCCTCCACACACTTCCTGTTCAGCTGGGCTGTGTTGCTAGCTCAAATAGCCATATTGATTACACTGTCAACCAAGAGCCCTGATCAAGGACTGGGTATAGGGGAGATGATGCCTTTGATTATTGTATTACTGTTTATTACATTCATGGAGGAAATGCTAAACCCGAAGGGGCCATAGATTGTCTGGTGGAATGAGCAGAATATAGGTTTGATCCAAGGAATGGGAGCACAAGTCAATTCCTTAGATCAAGAGTCCCTCACTGATATCCCTTGAGGGGATCATCCTATTGAATTATCAATAGTGAGGTACCTACAGTGCTCGTCATTAAAGTATGCCAACTCCCACTAAAACCACAACCATAAAATAGGTCATCCCATGCACTTTAGGACATCTTTCAACCATCTAGGAAATGAGTTACACACATTCTTCAGTGTTTCATGGAGTAAATTCCTCCAAGACTCATGGATGGCATCCTCCAACCGTGGGAATAGGCTGTTATCTTTTCCTTAGTAGATCTCAATCAGAGCCCAAAGGTTCTCAATAGGGTTCAGGTCTAGGAAATTTCCTGGTCAGTCATCAAAGAAGGGTTCCTCGCAGTCACAAGACCAAACAACAGATTTTGTAGTGTGGCTAGGAGTACTGTCTTGAACAAAAATCATTGCACCACACTCTGTGAAAGATTCAGGCAAATGATCAGAGCAATTCTAGGTACATTATTACAGCTAACATTACTTGGGATGTCTTTCTGGGCTTCCATGGACATGCTTTTGATGTAGGCATGTCATCAACACCATCCTCAAGGAACCAATGCAACCAAGTCCTCAGTGGATGTTCACACATATTGATGGCTTCTATTTCTTTTGTTTGATGGTCTGCACAGCTGTCTCATGTCAGTGACTTACCCCTGACCATATTAAGTCATCAACAGCCAAAAGTGTCTGACAAACTCAGCACTCAAGAGCACACCTTTCAGGGAGACCACGGACACAACTTAGTCCACCATGCAAGCCTAGCAGGTACTTAGGGTGCAGCCAGTAGCCTTAGGGAATCCCGAGATAGCCCACTATGAGCTGCCAGACCAGCATAACTTCTTTCTCACCGAAAACGTACCAGAATAGGATATTACTTTGAACATTAAAGTATGCCAGATGCCTTCCGCCCAGCATACTTTAATGACGAGCACTGAAGAGAAGCATTAAGGGCAGAGAAGCATTAATGACAGATAGAACCCCATTAAGTATAAAATTAACACTACCACGGCTGGAGCAGTTCACTGCTAACCACATATTGGAGAAAATCTCTAGATGATGTTTGAGTCCTTCCTGAACCATTATCAGTTCAAAAAGGACTGACATGCCATCTCAGACTTCATCTCTAATTTCTGGGTCAGTTGTGAATCCCATTTGTGATCATTTTCCTTCTTTATGTTCAAACTACGGTACATAAAATACTTTTGATGGGAAGTGCTATATAATGACTACAGGTTTAGTGCTTGTTTCTCAATAATAATAACAGTAACTGTAAAATAACAATAACATAGCTAATAATTTTGATTGGAAGCAATTATGAGTGAGTGATACAGGACGCTGAGGGACTTTACTAGCAGATTCAAGATAAGGACAGAACAGATATAATACCAGAGAAACAGAGCTGGACAATTAAAGGAGTTATAAGAAACTTTGGAGATTTTTATGTTAAGTACTAAGGTTATAGAGGTGTTATTTTTTGTTGTACAGTACCCACACTGTTCATCTTCCATTTTTGGGGGGATGACCCCCCTCAAAAAAAGGAAGCATTC